GACCATTTAAAGTTTCACTGAAAAAAGTGACTTATGACCATTTTTCACACTTATGACTATTCGGGCATTCCCCATGGTCACGTGATCAAAATTCAGACCCTTGGCAATTGGCTCCTTTTTATGACCTTAGCATGTTCCAGAGTCACATGATTTTGTGATAAGCAAAGTCAAATGGGGGAAGCCAGATTCACTTAACAACCGTAAGAGTAACTTAAGAACTGCAGTGATTCACTTACTAACTGTGGGAAGAAAGTTTGTAAGATGAGGCAAAACGCACTTCCGGCTCTCCTTGTTTTGGCAATCCCAGCAATTTTTGCTAAAATGTCCCTCTCTCCCACACTGGAGGCAATGCCTGCAAAAAAAAAAAAATCCCTGTTATGTTCGCATTACCGGCATCTTTTTCTTTGCTGGAGGGGTTGGTGTTGTCTTTGACTACTATCCTCGTTTAACATTGCCAAGGCTTGTAGGTCCTCCCTCTTTCTGCACTACGTCTCTTTTCTTTCTCTCTCTCTCTCTTTCTGCTTCCTTTCTTTCTTTTTCTTCTTCGACCAATTTTTCCCTCTGGTCGAACACAAAGTTTGTGATTTTATGCAACTCTGAGATTTCTATTGCCGACCAGTTGGAGGCTATTTTATGAAAGTGCCCATAGATGTCGCTTTCCGATTGATCCACGAAGGCAGTGGCTAAAATTTTTTTGGTCTGTTTGGCAGTTTAAATCTAAATGAGCAAATGCCCCCCTGGCTTCTAGGAGGCAAACCCAGAAGGCATCTGGGATTTCTTTATCCCTCTGCATTATTCGCTGGAATTTGGACCAGTTCAGGGGCTTCCTCCCTGTCTCCTGGAGGGCTTCCATTAGGTTATGCTTAGCCCTTATCTATCCGTCCCAATGATTCGTGTAGTTATACTCCCAGTCTGGGCGGTTCAGTGGCCAGGTGACTCTGACGGTTGTTATTATTGGTCACTTGGCTATTTCCTCAATCTTTTTGAAAAGTTTCATTAATTCATCTTTCATCAGAAAGACATGCAATAGTTGGGTAACATTTCCCCATGACGGGTTGTGGGTCTACTCAGAAGAAGGTGGTATCCCGCTTCCAAATGACTAAATCAGCCAGAGAAAAGGGTGTGTGAGTTAAAACGTAGTCAAGCTGACCTCTCTGCCACCTGACTATGGGCCTGCTCAGCAGGGGCCATGAGTTTTGATTCTGAGTTGTCCAAGGATGTTTGAGCTCAATTTGTGTCTTGTCTAGGTTCTTTGATCTGGAGAGTTCAGCCCAGCAATACCAATAGGGTAGCTGAGCCAGTTCTATTCTGGACCTAAGTGCTTTCACGGTTTTAAATTTGAATTTACCGCCTTCTGGCCAAATCTGTCTCCCACACTCATTTTTAAGCAAATCCCATTTTTTGCACAATTTATCTACCTATCACTTTTCCATTCCTGGCTGAACAGGTAGCCGATTACCGTCCCAGGCCTCAAGCAAGTCTTTTGCAGGGGAGCCTACCTTGACCCTTGAACTAGAGCATCCCATGATACCTGTATTTCCAATGTAGGGATTCACTTCGGCTCTGCCGGGTCCTGACGACTTGAAGCCTCCTAGTGAGACTTCCACCAACCACTGCAGTTTTAGGACCAGAAAGGGGTCCAGGAGGACTCTGGTTCCCTAACAGAATACAGGTTGCTCCTTCAGGGATTCTCCTGCCACAGTTTCAGACCAAAAAGAGGTCTGCGAGGACTCTACAGCTGCCCGCAGAGAGTACAGGCCACTCTTTTACCGGCCTTACCTTCTCTTTTCACCTAACCACAGTTTGGAGACTTCCAATGTCTGGGATGACCTCTGCTTGCTTTTCAGAGGTAAGGGACGCTCTAGACTGGGGCTTAATTTTCTGAAGTCACACTGGCGGGAGGGCCCGGTCTACCAAGACAGAAATTTCTCCGACACTTTTGTTGCCCGCTCAGCTCCTCTCTCTTTCTCAGAAGGTCCCACGTTCCGGTGCCCCTCCTTGCTTTCCTAGATTCTACTGGTCATGGTGCCAGAAGAGCTACCAGGAGGCTGGGGAGGGGCGACTAGAGGGCACACGAAGGGAGTGGGATCCAGCTGTTGTCAGAGGAAGGTGCCCCACACATACATTCACACACTTCTTTTCTTTCTGTAGGACCCTTTTAAATCTAGAAATTTGAATTTGGCAGTACTCACCCTCTTTCCAAGTAGCTGCTTGAGTGCAAGTCTCAACGACTCCCTTTAATACCCCATTGCTGACCAGGCAAAGTCCGTGGAGGCTTCCCCGTGGATAAAGCATCCGCTGATGGCTGGGTAATGGCTCTTCCAGGCTCAGTCCAGTGGCTGGGTGAGCTGAGAGTTCCTTTGTGGTTGCCAGGAAATTGTTGAGAGGAACTCCCCCATTGGTTTTGTTTTTCCTGTATTGGCTAATATATTTTGTTTGCTTAAATTATATCCTTTTATTTATTTCTCATCAAAATCATCCCGGCTCCCCCCAAATTTTGGGGGAGCCCCATATTTAACCCATTTATTTGAATGTGTTGTAAAAGGCTGCCATGTTGAGATAATTCATTTTTTTTCTGCAGAGGATAGCTTCTTAGGTAAATGGTGCAATTCTTGCTCAGCCTTAGGATCACAATCTGTGTAAAATTATCTCCTGCATGGAAGATCAACCCTCTTTCTCCTCCTCCTCTCCCTCCTCGTCCTCCAGAATCAATGGGGCAGTGATTATAGCTTCCTAAGTGCTATTGTAGATAATTTTTATTTGAACACAAAGAAAATAAAAACATTCCCCTTCCCAATAATCCTGAGATAAACAGTCTCACATTCTGTCTTTTCTCTGTCTCTCTCTCTCTGAAAACCATCATCCTTCGGCTCATGGGTTCCCTCTAAATCAGTGGTTCTCAACCTGTGGGTCGCGACCCTTTTGGGGGTCGCACAAGCCTTTCACAGAGGTCGCCTAAGACAATCAGAAAACACATATTTCCGATGGTCTTAGGCAGGGCTTGTCAACCGCCTTCTCTCCCTCCCCCCCTCCACTCCACCTCATTTGTTTGTGGAAAATATGCTGCTTGGTGGCAGTCTGCACGAACTCTACCAAATGTGCCCTGGAGGGGGTGCAATTAGAGCGCAGGCGCAGAGCAAGGCCCTGCCCTCCCCAGAGACTCATTGTGTAGCAATCGGATTGACTTCTTCTCGTGCAGGCAGGTCAGCAAAGGGGAGGCCACACAGCACCCAACTCCTGCGCCTGTCAGCTGGCGACCCCCAAACTTGCGGTTATCAGCCGGGAGGTCTGGCAACGGCTACCAGTCTCCTTTGCCACCCCGCCCATCCTCGACTCCTCCTCGGCCCGTTCATGTCGAGCCCGCCGGGGCTTGACAGGGAGAGAGGGAGGGAAGGAGGAAGGGACTCCTCCTCCTCTCCTAAGCTTCAAAGCACGATCGGCTTCCCAAGGGTGCCACAATCCTCATGAAAGCAGGGGGAGAAGCAAAGGGGGCAAGAAAGCTTGCGGCCGGCTCAAAGTAGCACTTGTCAGCGTTGGTGATGAGAAATTCCCCACAAACCCAGGGAAGGAGTGGAGAAAAGGAGCCCCCTTTGGGAGGAAACCGCCACCTTCTTCTCCTTGGCTGTGCGCTCTTCTGTTCCTTGGAAGGCAGGCGGGCTGGCAAGCCTCTCCTAGCTGGAACTTCCTTTCCTTCCCTCCCTCTTGGTCTCTTCCTCCTTCCCTCCCTCTCCCATTGTCCCTTCCTTCCTTCCTTCCTTTCCTTCACCACCCTTTGTCCCTCCTTCCCTCCCTCTCCCGCTTGTCCCTTCCTTCCTTTCACCTCCCTCTTTGTCCCTCCTTCCCTCCCTCTTGTCCAGGATCCGGGCGAGCCTCTACAGCTGATCCGCACTTCTGCAGCTGTAGCTGCTCTCCTTGGCTCTTGCCCAGCAAACTTGCTCGAGCTTTGCTTGAAAACATAACACTAATTTAACAGAAGTGCGAATCAGCTGTAGCCCAGCACTGATCCTGGAGCTTCTGCTAACTTAGCAAGCAGCACATCTTTCGGCGAAGCTGAGCAAGTGAGCTGGGTGGAGCTCTCCTGTCTCTGCCTCTGCCAAGGCAGGTTTGTCAGCAGCAAAGCCCCCAGCCACGCTGGCAGCCTATCCCCCTCCCCTTGTCCCTTCCTGGGCACGAAGGGGGCGGATGAAGGAAGGGACGAAGAGGGAGGGAAGTAAGGAACAATGAGAGAGGGAAGGAAGGAAGAACAATGTAAGGGAGGGAAGGGAGGAAGGGACAAAGAGGAAAGGAAGGAAGGAAGGAAGGAAGGAAGGAAGGAAGGAAGGAAGGAAGGAAGGGACAAGGGAAGAGAAGGAGGGAAGGAGGAAGAGACTAAGAGGGAGGGGAAGGAAAGGAAGGAAAGAAGGAAAGAAGGGACAATGGGAGAGGGAAGGAAGGAGGAAGAGACTAAGAAGGAGGTGAAGGAAAGGAAGGAAAGAAGGAAGGGACAATGGGAGAGAGGGAGGGAAGGAAGAAGAGACTAAGGGAGGTGAAGGAAAGGAAGAAAAGAAGGAAGGAAGGGACAAGGGGAGGGAAGGAAGGCAGGCACCCACCCCAATCCCATCCCAAAGACCCACAGATTCCCCCCCACAGGCACTCTGCAACCTGAGTGATCAGCTGACCACGCCCCCCTGGCCATTGATCATGTGACCCTGGGACACTGAATGTCATAAGTATGAATCAGTTGTCAAGCATCCAAATGTAAATCACATGACCCTGGGGATACTGCAACAATCATAAGTGTGAAAAATAATCATAATTCGCTTTTTCAGTGCTTTTGTAACTTCTAACAGTCACTAAGCGAATTGTTGTAAGTCGAGGACTATCTATGCTTTCCCATTTTTTCCTTTTTTGGGGGGGTCAAGTTTTTGATACCCGCCCAGCCAGCTGGATGGGGGGTTGGGGGTCACCACAATATGAGGAACTGTATTAAAAGGTCGCGGCATTAGGAAGGTTGAGAACCACTGCTCTAAATATTCATATTTCTCCTGTTTCCATCTCTAAGGAGATTACACCTTGTTCTCAAGATTCCTGTTTGCACACCTTGAGTGTTTAACGCTTGCACTGGGTCAGGAAAACACATTCTCAAATGTAAAATAAACCCAGGCATATGTCCTGCCCAACTCACTTCCTGCTTGCTAATGATTTCTTTGGGATTTTCTGATGGAAACCCAATTCAAGGACTGAGGTTGGTTTCCTCTCTTCCTTTTTTTCTCCATTGCAAGGGTTAACTGCAATTCCTGGCTTGTTTGATCAATTGAAACTCCTCCCTGGCTCACAAAATGCCTATTTTTCTCCTAAGAGCTTATTTGTTAAAAAGGCTGCTTGTGCTGAACTACACACCCTCTTCAAGATGTCCTTCTGGGTGGCAGTCATGGTTGCCTTGGTGGTCGGTCTTTTCGGAGCCCTCTACCTGATGGGCTTCTTCCGCCGAAGACGACCCAATGAACCCCCTTTGGACATAGGACTCATTCCCTGGCTCGGACATGCATTGCACTTCCGAAATGACAATCTGGATTTCCTGCAAAGCATGCAGAAGAAACATGGAGACATCTTCACCACCTTGATTGCAGGACAATACTTCACCTTCTTGATGGACCCATTGTCTTTTGGTGGCATCATCAGGGAACCCCGCAGCAAACTGGACTTTACTTTGTTTGTACTGGAGCTGGTCCTCAGGGTGTTTCGATTCAAGGCCTCCCATGAGACTCGCAAGATTATCGAAGTCTCCAGTGCAAAACATCTGAAGGGAGAGGGCCTGGTGGTGATGACCCAAGCCATGATGGATGCTTTACAGTCTGTCTTACTCCAGTGGGAAGAAACCTCTGAAGAGGATCCAAAGTCCTGGAAAGAAGATGGCTTGTTCCATTTCTGTTACAACACGGTCTTTCGAGCTGGGTATCTGGCTTTGTACGGTACCGAGCCAGTTAAAGGTGAAAACCAGAAAGAAAAGGCGAAACGAAAAGACCAGCATCACACTGAAGAGTTGTACATTGAATTTTGCAAATTTGACAAGCTCTTCCCACGCCTATCATATGCCTTGTTGACCCCATGGGAGTGGGGCCAAATGAAGAACCTCTGGAACTATTTCTGGCAAGTTCTTTCAGTGAAGAACATCTATCAGAAGGACAACATCAGCCAGTGGATCAGTGACCAGGATCAACAGCTGGCTGAAAGTGGGATTTCAGAAGAGATGAGAGACCGGTACATGTTCCTGCTTCTTTGGACTGCTCAAGGTAGCACTAGTCCAGCTTCCTTCTGGCTTCTGGAGTACCTGATGAAGCATCCCAAAGCCATGGAAGAGGTCAAGAAGGAGATCCTGGAGGTGGTGAAGAAATCAGGCCAAGAGGTGACCTCCTGCGAGAAGCCCTTGAATGTCACCATGGAGATGCTAAACCAAATGCCCATCCTGGACAGCACTTTGGAAGAGACACTGAGGTTGGTGACAGCGCCATTGTTGATCAGAGTGGTTTTACAAGACATGGATTTGAAGCTTCACAATGGGAAGTCCTACCTGCTGCGTAAAGGTGATAAAATCGGCCTCTTCCCTTACCTCTCAGTCCACATGGACCCCGAAATACATCCGGATCCCCAGGTCTTCAAATACGACCGTTTCCTTAGCCAAAACGGCAACAAAAAGGAATTTTTTAAGAATGGCGAGAAGGTAAAATATTTTGCCATGCCTTGGGGAGCTGGGACCTCCATGTGTCCTGGCCGCTACTTTGCCACCAACGAAATCAAGCTTTTCACCTTCCTGATGCTGGCTTGTTTTGATCTGGAACTGATCAATCAGCAGGAGGAGATCCCTCCCATCAACAAGACCCGCTACGGGTTTGGGGTGGTACAACCCATGAATGACGTCCAATTTAGGTACCGATGCCGGTGCTAAAGGCCAAGGCTGCGATCCACACATGACAGTCCAAGATAATTATCTCTATATAATTGAATCACTCTCTCTTTCCTCCCTCTCTCTGTCTCTCTGTGTGCATGTGTATGTGTTTGTGTGCTAACCCTTCCTTTCATTTTCACACTTAGCTTGCACACGATAATCTAGGACAGTGGTTCTCAACCTTTTTAATGCCGCGACTCCCAACCGGTCATAAGTCGAGGACTACTCAACCAGTCATAAATCGAGGACTACTCAACTGGTGCAGCACCGTTTGCAGAATGGGACTTTTGGCGGGCTCAGCAGGGCAGAGACAGCCTGGACAATTCCTATTGGCTTTTGAAAGCCAATAGAATTAGACTCTATTCAAGAGAGTCTATTCTATTGGCTTTCAAAAGCCAATAGAATAAAAGGGAGTAGCACAGCTAAGGAAAAGGGGAAAAAATGGCGGACTGCGTTGTTTGGCGACCCCCGTGAAATGGTCATTCGACCCCAAATGGGGTCCCGACCCACAGGTTGAGAACCACTGATCTAGAATAATCAGGGACATGTCACTAGTATATTAATTTATCTGTGTTATGGAATCAGACTCTCTGTGTGTATGATTGTGTGTGTGTGTCTTTGTGTTTGTGTGAGTGTGTGTGTTAACTCCTTCTTTTCCCTTTGCACACAATCTAGGGTAACCAGGGATAGCTCACCAGTGAACTATAACATTATGGAAACACTCTGTGTGTGTGGGTGAGTGCGCGCGTGCGCATGCGTATGTACATCCATGTTTGTGTGTGTGTTAACACTTTTCTTTATTTGTGCACACTTGCAAACGATAATCTAGGATAACCAGAATATGTCACTGGTGAACTAATTCTGTATTTGTAATGGAATCAGACTCTCTCTGTCTCTCTCTCTCTCTCTCTCTCTCTCTCTGTGTGTGTGTGTGTGTGTGTGTGTTAACTCCTTTTCTTTTTCCACACTTAGCTTTCACATGATAATCTAGGACAGTGATGGCAAACCTTTTAGAGACCAAGTGCCCAAAAACTGGCCTCGCCCCCACTTCAACCCTGCCCCACCCCCATTCCGCCCCATCTCCCACCCTGCCTGCCTACAGGGCCACTCACCACCTCCAGGGCCTATCACAGATCACCCAGGCAGCCCAGCAGCACTATGGTGGTCACATCCTGTACCCGTGTCCTGCAACATCAACTGTGCACGATGGGGTATGAGGGCAGAGTCTTGTCTATGCTGCCTGGCTGCCATGTCCTTGGCTGTGCTGCTCCGCGTGGGCCACGCTCAGGGGCGACTCTCCTTCAGGGGGGCTGCTGGAGAGGAGGGGGTTGCGGGGGGAGGAAAGGCTGGGGCAATGGCACGTGTGCCCACAGAGAGGGCTCTAAGTGCCGCCTCTGGCACCCGTGCTACAGGTTCGCCACCACTGGGCTAGAATAACCAAGGATATCTCACCAGTGAACTGTTTATTTCTATGTTATGGAAACAGTCTCTCTCTCTCTCTCTCTCTCTCTCTCTCTCTCTCTCTCTCTCTCTCTCTCTCAATCTCTCTCTCTCTGTCTTTGTGTTAATTCCTTCCTTTCTTTTTGCACACTTAGCTTGCACTAAAAAATAATCCAGAAGCCTTCCTGAAATTAATCCTCCCAAATGGTTTTTCTTTCCTTCCTTTCCTGTTCAAGTTCAGCTTTCCAAACTTGCTATATTTTTTAAGTGCATCCCGAGCCAGCATATTAATGTACACAAACGGAGTTGTGTCTTTTGTTGATCTGAGGTTCCTAGTGAAATGTACTAAGGGGCTTTTGAAGAGACAGAGGAATTCCAGATAAGGGATTCTTCCTTTGTGAGTAGCAAAAATACAACTAGTCCTCAACTCAGGACCACAATTGACCCCAAAATCCCCAAAAATTAGCTATAGAACCTATAGCTAATTTTTTTGTTGCCCAGGCCCAGAATGGACTTCTGGAAGCGGCATGCACACAGAGAACCGGCTGTTCACATATTTGAATCTCACCACTGCCAAAATCTCTGTTGTTAAATGAGACAGATATTAAGTGAATTTTGCCCCATTTTATGACTTTTTTTGCCACAGTTGTTAAGTGAATCACTGCAGTTGATTAGTTAGTAACCTGATTGTTAAGTGAATCTGGCTCCACCATTGGCTTTGCTTGTCTGAAGGTCACAAATGGGGATCACATGGCCCCATGACACTGCGACTGTCATAAATATGAATCAGTTGCCAAGTATCCAAATTTTGATCGCATGGCCACAGGGATGCTGCAACGGTCATATGAGAAATTGGTCATAAGTTACGTTTTTTCAGTGCCATTGTAAACATGAAGGAACACTAAATAGAACTGTTGTAAGTCAAGGACTGCCTGTATCCATCACCTATCTTAATTCCAACTCTTCCTCAACAGAATCCCTGTCTGCTATGAAGAAGGAAATGCTTTGATAATAAACTGAAAATTATACCTACTGTGCCCTTGTTTTTATCAGATGTGGACAGAGGAAACATGAAGAAAAGTGAACTTTGGCTGTGGCAAACATTGACCAAAGTGTCATTTTTGCTGAGCTAGTAAAAACATGGCAATGATAGAGATTGCAAAATTTTATTTTATTTTTCCAATGAAAAGCTAAGAAAAAAGGAAATAAATACCCACCCCTTTACAGTTTGTTTTTAAAAGCCATGCTCAAAGGCAGCCAGAAACCTTTCTAAATCACTGGAGGTTTTTAAGAAGAGATTGGACAGCCATTTGTCCAGAGTGAATAGAGATTCCTGCTTGAGCAGTGGGTTGGACTAGATGACCCCCCAAAGTCCCTTCCAGCTCTGTTATCCCCTCAAATAGGAGATGAGCCCTATTTGAGGGGACAGAATCAAACCATCAATTCTGGTTGTTAAGTGAATCCGGCTTCCCCATTGACTTTGTTTGTCAGAAGGTCACAAAAGGGGGATCACGTGTCCCCAGGGACGTTGTGCCCACCATAAATATGAATCAGTTGTCAAGTGTCCAAATTTTGATCACGTGATCCTGGGGTTGTTCCAATGTCATCAAGTGCGGAAAAATAGTCATAAGCCCCTTTTGTCTGTACTGTTGTAACTTTGAACGGTCACTAAATGAACATCTGTAAGCACTGCTAAAAATGTGACTTACAACCAGGCCTCCCCCTTATGACCATCACAGCATCCCCACAGTCATGTGATCAAAATTGGGTCCTTTCCAACTGGCATGTATTTATGACTGTTGCTGAGTACTGTGGGAAGAATCCAGAGAAAGAAATATTTTGGAAAATATTAAAGAGGCAGAATATATTTCCCCAAAATATTTTAAAGGCAGAAACCAACTGCCCCCCAAGTCTCTCTGCCCCAAACAGAAACCAGGTCGGCAGAAATGCAGATGTGATAATCTTGTCTGAAAGATTGGAGTCAGGAAACTGGGATTAAGAAGAAAGATCCCTAGAATCAAAAATTCCTCACACCAAAAATCCAACAGCCATCAACCACAGCCCCAGGGAAGCAAGATATGACCTCTGGGACATAATAGGATTAACCCACCACCATCAGAATATCAGAAAGGCACACTCAGACTCAGATCAAAGTTCATGCCTCAGGAACAACTACAAACAAAAGCTCAAGAAGGTATAAAACCCACTCCCTACTACTTCATGTGCTCTTTTTTCTTCCAGAGCCATCTTTCTGTCTAGCTCTCTTCTTCAATAAACTGCAATCTTCTTTCTAAAGCAGTTACCATGTTGTTTATTCCTGGCTTGAACTGAACCCTGAAGGAGACTTTTCCTTCAACAATTTGGCATCCCAGATAGGACTCCAAGCTAACATCTCCAGTGGACTGTCTCATAAGTCCCATTTGTGGACGGGTTTCCCAGACCCTGGCCATGTGGAGCGAGGGTAGTAAAAGGGAGTTTTGAGTTTGAGCTCAAGGACTGCTTTGGAAAGAAGGTGGGTACCTCTAAATTTTAACTTTTAAAGCGCAGGGGAGCAAAGGAAATGTCTGTATGTCTCTGTGAGAATGAGAAGACCCTTTTTCCATCACAGTTGGATTTTGCTCCTTCCGGCTTTTCCTAACTGCAGAAAGGATTTTTTTAAATGACAGACCCTGGAAAGCATGGGGGTTTGGCCAGAGCACAGAACCTTTTGTTAGGGAAAAGGGAGAGGCTGTGTCTTCTGCATGCTTTTTTCTCTCTCTCTCTCTGAAAACCACTGTCCTTCGGCTCATGGGTTCCCTCCAAATATTCATTACATTCTCAAATGTAAAATAAACACAGGCACACATCCTGCCCAACTTGCTTCCTGCTTGCTAACGATTTCTCTGGAATTTTCTGATGGAAACCCAATTCAAGGACTGAGGTTGGTTTCCTGTCTTCCTTTTTTTCTCCATTGCAAGGGTTAACTGCAATTCCTGGCTTGTTTGATCAGTCAAAACTCCTCCCTGGCTCACAAAATGCCTACTTTTCTCCAAAGAACCTGTTTGTTAAAAAGGCTGCTTGCACTGAACTTCAGACACTCTTCAAGATGTCCTTCTGGGTGGCAGTTGTGGTTCCCTTGATGGTCAGTCTTTTGGGGGCCCTCTACCTGATAGGCTTCTTCCGCCGAAGACAACCCAATGAACCCCCTTTGGATATAGGACTCATTCCCTGGCTCGGACATGCATTGCACTTCCGAAATGACAGTATGGATTTCCTGCAAAGCATGCAGAAGAAACATGGAGACATCTTCACCATCTTGATTGCAGGACAGTACTTCACCTTCTTGATGGACCCGTTGTCTTTTGATGGCATCATCAGGGAAGCCCGAAGCAAACTGGACTTTATGTCATATGCAGCTGAGCTGGTCCTCAGGGTGTTTCGATTTGAGGCCTCCCATGACACTCACAAGATCATCGAAGTCTGCAGTGCAAAACATCTGAAGGGAGAGGGCCTGGTGGTGATGACCCAACCTATGATGGACACTTTACAGGCTGTCTTATTCCAGTGGCAAGAAACCTCCAAAGAGGATCCAAAGTCCTGGAAAGAAGACGGCTTGTACCACTTCTGTTACAACACGGTCTTCCGAGCTGCATATCTGGCTTTGTATGGTACTGAAACAACTAAAGGTGAAAACCAGAAAGAAAAGGCGAAACGAAAAGACCAGCATCACACTGAAGAGTTGTACGTTGAATTTTGCAAATATGACAAGCTCTTCCCACGCCTATCGTACGCCTTGTTGACCCCGTGGGAGTGGGTCCAAGTGAAGAACCTCTGGAACTATTTCTGGAAGGTGCTTTCAGTGAAGAACATCTACCAGAAGGAAAACACCAGCCGGTGGATCAGTGACCAGGATCAACAGCTGGCCGAAAGTGGGATTTCAGAAGAGATGAGAGACTGGTACATGTTCCTGCTCCTTTATCTTGCTCTTAGTAGCCTCAGTCCAGTTTCCTTCTGGCTTCTGGAGTACCTGATGAAGCATCCCAAAGCCATGGAAGAGGTCAAGAAGGAGATCCTGGAGGTGGTGAAGAAGTCAGGCCAAGAGGTGACCTCCCATGAGAAGCCCTTGAACATCACCAAGGAGATGCTAAACCAAACGCCTATCCTGGACAGCGCTTTGGAAGAGACGTTGAGATTGGTATCGACATCGTTTTTGATCCGGGTGGTTTTACAAGATATGGATTTGAAGCTCCACAACGGGAAGACATACCTGCTGCGTAAAGGTGATAAAATCGGCCTCTTCCCTTACCTCTCGGTCCACATGGACCCTGAAATCCATCCGGATCCCCAGGTCTTCAAATATGACCATTTCCTCAGCCAAAATGGCAACAAAAAGGAATTTTTTAAGAATGGCGAAAAGGTGAAATATTTCACCATGCCTTTTGGAGCTGGGACTTCCATGTGTCCCGGCCGCTACTTTGCTACCAAAGAAATCAAGCTTTTCACCTTCCTGAAGCTGGCTTGTTTTGATCTGGAACTGATCAATCAGAAGGAGGAGATCCCTTCCATCAGCAAGACCCGCTATGGGTTTAGTGTGATACATCCCATGAATGATGTCCAATTTAGGTACCGATGCCGGTGCTAAAGCCCAAGGCTGTGTTCCTCACACAATGGTCTAAAATAATAATCTCTATGTAATTGAATCATTCCCTCTCTCTCCCTCTCTTCCCCCCCTCTCTGTCTCTGTGTTTGAACGTGTGCATGTGTGTGTGTTTATGTGCTAACCCTTCCTTTCATTTTCACACTTAGCTTGCACAGGATAATCTAGGATAATCAGGGACATGTCACTAGTATATTAATTTATCTATGTTATGGAATCAGACTCTCTGTGTGTATGATTGTGTGTGTGTGTTTCTGTGTGTGTTTCTTTCTGTGTGTGTGTGTTAACTCCTTCTTTTCATTTGCATACAATCTAGGATAATCAGGGATATCTCACCAGTGAACTATAACATTATGGAAACACTCTGTGTATGTGTGCATGTGTGTGTGTTAACCCTTTTCTTTATTTGTGCACACTTAGCTTGCACATGATAATCTAGGATAACCAGAAGTATGTCACATTTCAATTTTCCAAACTTGTTGATCTGAGGTTCCTAGTGAAATGGGCTAAGGGGCTTTTGAAGAGACAGAGGAATTCCAGATAAGGGATTTTTCCTTTGTGGGTAGCAAAACTGCAGCTAGTCCTCAACTCAGGACCACAATTGACCCCAAAATCTCTGTTGCTAAGTGAGACATATATTATGTGAATTTTGCCCCATTTTATAACTCTTCTTGCCACACTTGTTAAGTGAATCACTGCAGTTGATTAGTTAGTAACCTGCTTGTTAAGTGAATCTGGCTTCACCATTGGCTTTGCTTGTCTGAAGGTCACAAACAAGGTCTGCGCCCTTGTTTTTATCAGATATGGACAGAGGAAACATGAAGAAAAGTGAAATTTGGCTATGGCAAACATTGACCAAAGTGTCATTTTTGCTGAGCTAGTAAAAACATGGCAATGATAGAGATTGCAAAAAAATATTTCCAATGAAAAGCTAAGTAAATAAAAAGGAAATAAATACCCACCCCTTTACAGTTTGTTTTTAAAAGCCATGCTCAAGGGCAGCCAAAAAGCTTTCTAAATCACTGGAGGTTTTAAAGAAGAGATTGGACAGCCATTTGTCCAGAGTGGAATATAGATTCATGCTTGAGCAGTGGGTTGGACTAGATGACCCCCAAGGTCCCTTCCAACTCTATTATTCTGCATTCTGTTTGTGTGGTTGCTAGGAGATGAGCCCTATTTGAGGGGACAGAATCAAATCATCAATTCTAGCTTTATATGGGCAGTCCTCAATTTACAACCACAAATGAGCCCCAAATTTCCATTGCTTAGTGAGATGGTTGTTAAGTAAGTTTTGCCCCATTGGGGATGCTGCAACAGTTGTAAGTATGAAAAACGGTCACAAGTGACTTTTTTTCAGCACCATTGTAACTTTGAACAGTCCCTAATCAAGCAGTCCTAAGTCGAGGACTACCTATACTTATTGTTTCTGCTTCACCATTGTAATAATTATTCTTTTTTCCATCAGACCCCCAAGGTACCCAAATTCACTTTCAAACAGAAATTCGTTTTACCTGAATTATCTGGGTCAGGTACATGGTTGTCATGGAAGCCATGAGCTCCTGAGAAGCACCGGAGGATTCGCCGAGTGACGGCAGGTTGAAATCCCCCAGTACCATAAGCCTGGGGAATTCCACCGGCAACCCGGCTACCCCCTCCAGCAGCTCAGGCAGGGCTGTTGTCACATAGCTGGGAGGCAGGTATGTCAGCAACAAGCCCAACTGAACCCTTGAATCCAACCTCAAGAGAAGGGACTCACACCCAACAATCTCTGGGGCCGGGATCCTGTGAGGTCTCAAGGATTCTCGGACAAGAATCGCCACTCCCCCATCCGTTCCCTGGAATCGCGGTTGGTGCATTATCTGAAACCCATCTGGGCACATCTCTGAGAGAGGAACACCTCCCTCTTGGCCCAGCCAGGTCTCAGTGATACATGCCAGGTCGGCCTCCTCATCCAGTATCAGGTCCCGGATGAGGGGAGCTTTATTAATAACCGACCTGGCATTAAGAAGCAGCAACCTGAGGCCAGGGTCCTGAACACCCCCCTCTCCAGGTATTGGAGAAGAGTCCAAGGGGCCGGAACAGGTAATCGCTTTAACACAGAGAGTCCTTGTTCCCCGAAGATGGCCCACCCCTTGGTTCCCGCCATATCTACCTCTCCCTACGATAACTGGGATGTTTCGGCCCACATCCACCCCTGAAAACTCCCCACCCACCCCGTAGGTCTCCCTCCCACCATCCCCCCCTCCCGGCAGTCCACATCTCACATTCATATCGAGCCGGGAAGTACATCCGCCCCCCCCCACTTCTGTTTACACACTCAGCAGAGGGGGCAACAGTTCTCCTTCCCAGCTCCATCACTCACACCCGTACACACCCTAATACAATAAAAACTAAAAGAAAAAGAAAAACAGTCAGTCATACTGTCAGCATACGCTGGCTGAGGGATTCTGGGAGTCGGAGACCACAAGTCACAAAAGGGCCACGTTTGAAAACCCCTGTATTAACACCACTGCAACAGCCAGGCTGGGACATCTCTTTCGGCTGTGCTCTTCTCCCTTCTGCAGCTGCTGGAGGCCATCCAGGAGCCGAGGGCTTGGGTATGTGTTAAACTACACATACCCAATTCCAGCAGCCTTTCCTTATATGCTTTAGCCTCCAATCCCCTAATCATCTTTTTTGCTCTTCTCTGTACTCTTTCTAGATTCTCAACATCTTTTTTACATTGTGGTGACCAAAACTGGATGCAGTATTTCAAGCGTGGCCTTATCAAGGCATTGTAAAGTGGTAATAATATTTCACGTGATCTTGATTCTATCCCTCTGTTAATGCAGCCCAGCACTGTGTTGGCCTTTTTGGCAGCTGCAGCACACTGCTGGCTCATATTTAAGTGATTGTCCACTAGGACTCTGAGGTCCCTTACTATTGAACAAGGTACCCCCCTATACCAGTGGTTCTCAACCTGTGGGTCGGGACCCCATTTGGGGTCAAACGACCGTTTCACGGGAGTCGCCAAACACTGCAGTCTGCCATTTTTTTCCCCTTTTCCTTAGCTGTGCTACTCCCTTTTATTCTGTTGGCTTTTGAAAGCCAATAGAATAGACTCTCTTGAATAGAGTCTAATTCTATTGGCTTTCAAAAGCCAATAGGAATTGTCCAGGCTGTCTCTGCCCTGCTGAGCCCACCAAAAGTCCCATTCTGCAAACGGTGCTGCACCAGTTGAGTAGTCCTCAACTTACGACTGGTTGAGTAGTCCTCAACTTACGACCGGTTGGGGGTCGCGGCATTAAAAAGGTTGAGAACCACTGCCCTATACTAGACCTGTACATTTGGTTTTTATTGCCTAAATGTAGAACCTTACTTTTTTCACCATTGAATTTCATTTTGTTAGATAGCGCTCAGTGTTCAACTCTGTCCAGATCCTTCTATATCCTAAGCCTGTCTTCTGGAGTGTTGGCTATTCCTGCCAGCTTGGTGTCATCTGCAAATTTGATGATTTCCCCATCTATCCCCTTGTCCAAATCATTGATGAAGATGTTGAAGAGCACTGGGCCCAGAACAGAGCCCTGGGGCACCCCACTACACATTTCCCTCCATGTAGATGCGGTTCCATTGAGGACCATACGCTGAGGGGCGGCACCATACGCTGAGGGGCGGCGTATGCGCAGGGACGGCACCATGCATGCGCAGTGCTCCCGGGCAGGGAAAGTCCTCAACTTACAACCAGTTGGGTAGTCCTCAACTTACGAACGGTTGGGGGTCGCGGCATTAAAAAGGTTGAGAACCACTGATGTAGATGCTGTTCCATTGAGGATCACACGCTAAGTACAGCCGGTCAGCCAGCTATGGATCCATCTGGTGGTGATGCTGTGTAACCCACATTTTTTCTATCTTATCAAGTAGCAGGTTGTGATCTACTTTATCAAATGCCTTACTGAAGTTCAAGTAAATTATGTCCACAGCATTCCTCTGATCCACTAATTTTGTCACTTGGTCAAAGAATGCAATAAGATTTGTCTGGCATGATCTGTTTTTGACAAACCCATGTTGGCTTTAAGCAATGCCTCTAGGTGTTTGCTGATTCATTGTTTGATCATCTTTTCCAAAATCTTCCCACGTATTGAGGTCAGGCTGATAGGTCTGTAATTTCCTGGGTCCATTTTTTTTCCTTTTTTGAAGATGGGAACTACATCAGCTCTTTTCCAGTCCTCCGGTAGTTTCCTAGTGCTCCAGGATTTTTAAAAAATATAGTTCAATGGTTCTGAGATCACACCTGCCAGTTCCTTGAGAACCTTGGGGTGTAATCCATCTGGTCCCAGTGATTTGAACTCGTCTGGGCTGGACAAGTGCTCACTTACCATTTTCTTGCCTATCTTAACTTGCGTTTCTATTCTGTTTTTTTATGGCACTATTTTTGGTAGGTTGGTCTGTTTTTTCCCTTTGTGTAAAGACAGATGCTATATATCATCAGCAATCTGCTCAAATTATTATTAATGGGGGATTGACAGAGACTTTTAATATTGAAAAGGGTACAAGACAAGGTTGTCCATTATCTCCTTTGTTATTTGTGTTGACAATGGAGATTTTGTTAATTCAAATTCGAGAGTCTACATTACTTAAGGGAAT